AGTATTTTTTCAAGATTAAAATAGCTACAAAGCATAAATAAAACTATTTTTTGTCATTTTCGTTTTTATATAAAGATAAAATATAAAGTACTTTTTTTTTGTATTTTTCAATATTAAAATGGCTACAAAACGTTAATAACTTTTTTTTTTTTGTAATTTTCGAAATTATACAACGATAAAAATATAAAGTACCATTTCTATATTTTTAAGTTTAAAATGACTGCAAAACATTAATAAAACTACATTTTTTTATAATTTTCGAAATTATATAAAGTATAAAAAATAAGGTACTATTTTTGTATTTTTTCAAGTTTATGAGAAATACATAAGCTAAAATTTACATATATAGTTTTTTTGTAATTTTTTTTTTTGCGATGAAATAAGGTAAAATAGTCAAAATAGCTATAGTAGACTCAATTCAAATATTAACGTTTTGTAGCCCTCTTTTCTTTCTTTTTATTTTTTTTTTATTTTTTTTTGATAAAACTAAAATTCTAAATTGAGCTACAAACTAAATTAACTCCAAAAATACTAATTAAACTCCTAACAAAAATTATCATACACAATTAAACACCAATTAAAACAAAAATTGCATAATTTGACATTAAATGCTAACAATGCAAAATATTCTTATTTTTGTGACTTTCATTTTTTTTATAAAACAAACTTAATTAAATACTAAATGAAAAATGTGATATATTTTATATTTTTATTAATTAAAACAAATAAACATGCACTCATAAAAATACAAATAATTATACAAAAATACCAGAAAAATAACAAAATTTGCACACAAAGAAAAAACTGTTTTATTTTGAAATTTTTTGGGAGTAATTCTTTCATAGGGCAAAAATCACGTGCTTACATCCAGCATTAACAATTTTTACCAATCTAATACATCCTAACAATTAATATGATTTTCTAGGGTGATCGTATACATGCCTCAATTGGGAAGTGTGTTATAAAGTTCTTTAAGAATAAGATACAGGAACTCGGCTTATATCGCATGACCTACTTTGTTGTCGGGCCAAATAATTTGAAATTAAAGACTACAACACACAATTTGAGGCTGACATTTACGCAGAGGACAATAGTTGAGGAAACTACTGATCCTACATATGGATATCTTTAACTTGCGTCCTTTTGATAAATTCACGAATCAACATGATGTCGATGAGGCAAAATTATTCGCTAATTCTTCTTTTTCATTTAATTCTAATACTACGTTTATTAAAATTTTGTGATTAACTTCTATATTTATAGATGTTGTTGGTCAGGTTGTGACCTATGAAACTGTTCAGACCTACAAGCAAGGAGACAACAAAAGTATCTTTATGAATATTGAACTTGAAGATGATAAGTAAGTCATTCACAAATAGAAACTATACTTTGTAGTAAAAAGGATTTTTTTTATTGAGGTTTTTCCGTGAAACATATAGGAGGAACATGATTTCAGCAACCTTATGGAGTGAACTTGTGGATCAAATTCAACCTCACTCGAATGCATCTACTGCTAATCCTTTGATTGTTGTTCTTCAACTTATGAAAGCTCAAAAATATCGAGGTTTTCCAATAGTTACATTTATATTTGATAAACAGTTTCAAAATAATTTATAGTTTTCAATTTGTAATTTTTAAATTTTATTCATAGGTAATTACTCAGTGCGTAGCTGTTGGTATGCTTCAAAAATATGGATAAATCCTACTTTTCCGCAATTTATCGATTTTAAATCCACGTTTGCAAAGGGTATAATTCTTATTTATATATACTATAAATATAATATTATTATTTAAAACTTAAAGTTTTTGACTTATGCAGATTAGATGCAGCGCTCCAATCAAACTATGAGTCGCTTACTCAGACAAGTTCACAGCAAAGTTACTCTATTAGAGATGAGTTAGCCAAAGGAATTGTATTGGTTAAAACTATTGGGGATTTAGTTCAGTGCATACAAGTGAGTTAAATATGGTTTTAAAAATTTACTTACCTTTTGTTTTATGTTTTGCATTTACTACGCTATTTTTTTGTTAAATAGGAGTGTAACTACTGGATTGCTGCAAAGTTGGTGAATTTGGAACTTCAACGAGGATGGTCATATTTGGGATGCAACAAGTGTACTAGAAAGGTTGAAAAAGTTGGAAATAAATTTTTTTTGTAAAAAATGCAACGAAGAAGATTGTTCTGTTGGTCACAGGTAATTATTCTATTATATAGATTTAAAACACATAAAAAGGAAATACATAAGGTTAATCAAAATTTAATTGCAGGTATCGACTTCAAGTTCGTGTTATGGATAGAACTGCCTTTATCTCATTATTGCTTTGGAATCGCGAAGCTCAACAGCTTATAGGAAAGTCCGCGAAAGAATTGAAGAAAGGATTAGTGTAGGTATAATAATAAACTTAATTTAAGTGTAGTTGTCAATTATAATATTTCTGATCTATGAAATTTGGTGTAGACTTCTGATGCGGATGCTGATTGTTCTTATCCAAGTGAATTGGACGATATTCTTAATAAAAAATTCATGTTTAAGGTTATTGTTAAGCAAACCAATATTGAGTCACAATACGAAGTCTACAAAGTTGTTAAGGTTACTGATGATGACGATCTTCTAAAGGAATATGCCCACAGCTCATTTGAAGACACTATCACAGTAAAATATCTTCACTCACAAATTAAGCTACTGATACATTTATGAAAAAGAATAAATATAAATCCTACAACCTTCATAACATGAATGTTTATTTTGTTTTGTTTTACTTTTTAACAGGATCCTTTGGAAATACCTGAGGGACAAATCTCGGGTGAAGAGAAGGTTTATGGGGTAATTTCATGAAATTAAAACAATTATAACATTATTAATTATTTAGTAAAAAGGTATTACTAATCATTATGCAACCAAAGGTAGTATCGCTCTCCAGCTCCTCTTTATAGATTCTTTTTATTTCTGTAGGATTTTGTGGCCGAAAGTAAGATGAAATCTATTTTACAAACTCCCATCAAGAAAAGCATATCAGAAAGTGGATCGTCCGTGTTAGAAGATGGTGATGATTGCAACGCAAAACTATCTCCATTGAAGAAGTATGACAAGAGGAGTAGATCTGCCAATAAGGCACCAACAGTAATAGCAGATGACGACTTGAATTGTCAACTCTCTAGCAACAAGGTTCGCCGAGTGATTAAAAAAGAGAAGAATCCATGAATTACTCTATTGAAATGACCTTAGCTATTTAATTATATAGTTTCTTTGCTATGTAGGTTTATGAATGACAAATTTTTATTATTTGGGCAAGTTCATTAGGGAGTAAAATTGTCTAAATATTGTTCTAAATTCATGTTTATGAATTAGTAGTTTAATCAACAGTGACTTCACTCTTTTTGTTAATATTTTTTATGCAACATGTTAGTTATTTGAACAAATCGATTGTTCAATGAATGTGTTGGTGAAGTTCTGATTTTCGAAGAATTTATTCAACTCAATCTTAGTACAAGATATATTTGATAGTTCTAAACTCAGCGATGAGTTGTTGTTCCAGTAGTTTTGTGTGACCAATAAGGTTCTGTTAATTATATTTTTACTGTAGCTGAAGTTTTGTCTACTGAACTATTAATGGGAAATTAAATTTAACTTTTTACCCTGTTTCTTCTGCTTCATGTTTGTGAAAATAATCTTCAAAGGACATGTCTATAAAAATTGTGAAACTTCTGATTATTCTGTTCAAAACCTAAGGTAGTGTATTAGTATATTCTGAAGCAATTTCATAGCAATGGTAATTACAGGAACTCTCTCTATTTATGAATTAGGGTACGCCTGAAAATTAACAAGAAAACTCAAGTTAGCAAGTAGAGAAATAACCTATAGATTAGTGTCAAAGCTTACATATGCTGTTAGTTATAAACATAATCAAACATTATGGAACATGAGCTAAAGATAATACCAAGGAGTTAGCCATAATGTCATTTATCACGAAAGCTACTACTCTAACAACCTATATGGAGAAGCCTCATCTAAAATCAAAGTCTTAATCTTGTGCTGTATTGTTATGATAAACAAATGTAATAGTGCATTGCTAAAGCATGACTCTGCACCTGGGGAGAAGGATAGATAGTAAATCCAAGCTTAGACTTTTTTTCATAATCGACAAATAGATGTTCCAACAACAATGACCCCAATCCAGAACCAGTACCACCACCAACAACATTAAACACCAAAAAACCTTGCAAACCCGTGCAATTGTCAGCCAATTTTCTTATTCGATCAAGGCATAGATCGACAATCTCATTCCCAACTGTGAAGAAAGTTAATACAACCAAAAATTAGGTGCATCTAACAAAAGTTATTCACAAACAAAGAAATGGCTCCTGAATTCTCCAGGATAACTACCTGTATAATGCCCTCTGGCAAAATTATTTGCAGCATCTTCCTTTCCTGAAATGAGCTGACAGCTCAGGATGGAAAAGCTGGCGATAAGTCCAGACAAAGAAAGGGAGTTCCGTTTGCCGTACATAACAAGCAAATTAGACACGAGGTATGATCAAAAGTCTAGCTCAAAGGCATGAAACAATCATTTTAGAACTATATCTAGAAAAAGTGTCTTTTGACCTTTTTCTGGATAGGACATGTGCAAGTTGGAAGTAGTGGCGCATTCTTCGCTACAATCAAGAGATTATAATAATCTACACCATGTCATTCTTTTCTACTCCGCCTTTAAAATATGCAACAGGGGAGAGGACTTTGGTGTAGATTATTACAGCTCTTTGATATCGATAATATAAAAATTAAGTTTCCGGTTGTACTTCAATTTTTAATTATTTCCAGTAGAATTTAAAAAATTATCTGTGGGAGTTATAGTAAACTAAAATACTACTTCATTAAAAATGATAAAAAATACAAAAACAGAAATATAAAGGAAAAAGAGGCGCATCAGTGCCCTCTTATCGTCAACTGCTCTCTCTTTAAGCTTTTTTTGGAAACTCTTCAACTTCTCAAACCAAATTCAGTTTCTCACCCCAACTTTCGGACTACTGCGTACCTCAACACCTGTCAATATTTTTGATACGTAGCCAGCGCTCTCATGCTCCTTCGTTTATCTACAGTAGTTTTTCTTCTAAAATAGTGTTGCAGTCAAGCCTGTTGTGGTTGCTTCAGAACTTTTGGATATTGAGTTACACAATCACAAGAAATAGAGTTTGTTTTGCTTCGGAATCAGCAGACTGAGGGGTTGTCAGTAACCCTACAAAATTCCACTTTACTTTTCCAAAAAACTCTACAATTTCTCGCAACAAATTCAGTTTTTACGGCACTTTGATATGGAAGAAGATAAAAAACTCGCAAGAAAAAATCGAATATGCATACGGAAGCAAAAACGGCCTAAATTTTCCTCGAAGGGTATGAACTTTAAATATTATATAAATCATGAGTAATTTTACAATTCTTTAAACAGTTGGACGTCACTTTGGTCTTTTACTAAATCGTTTTGTTCTATTCTTTGTTCAGTTTCATAGATGCATTAGATGGTCAAATTTAAGTATATTTCAGAAAATATGTGTCATATATATCGATGTAATTTATGATCCTTACACCATAGTAGTAATTTATGCATTCTGTATTCTGCTGTGTATTGTCTTTCTTACAAATATGCATTTTTTGATATATCATTGCATAAATTTAAATATATTATGTCATATGTTTTATCATTTTTGCTATGTAACCATCCCACACATCTTATGCAGTTTTTAAGTACTTTTGATGATCTGTCGTCTTTATTAGTCGCTTTTATACCTGCTTTACTCAGTTGCAATTAGAGAAAAATCACAATTCCAATCAGCCCATCAATTCTTATATATTAACCTTTCCAATTTCAATGCAAGAACAATATTTGCGATATGATTTGTCGACTTCAAATTTGCAAACCGATTTAAATGAGCTACCATTACTGCAAGATAAATATTTGTGTTAACTTTAATATAGCTTATTTTGAAAATTTGAGGAAGTCAAACTTTTGTGCCGCTATACTGAATCTCCACAAAAATAAAAAAGTTAGTAATTTATATACTTTTATCTCTAATGCGTAATGGACAGTAGAATAATTTAAAAATAAAAGCCTTATTTGCTGCCGTTTTTTTGGTTCTGTTTATTTTCTTAAGTACAACATGTATGTTATAATTATATTATTATTTTGTATGAATTTTCTTTTTGTCGCTCTACTTTTGAAAATTTCATTAACCGATTTGTCTTCGCTTTGGGATGTTTATTTTTTTTGAATATTTCTTTGCTTGATTAGGCTTAACCTTTAGAATATTTTGAAATGAAGTGTTGTTAGTCATGTAATATAAAATGTTGTTTGATAGGGGGTTCATTGGAAGTATGATTAATAATAGGCGAAGTAAGATTAGTTAATGTTTGTAATGCGAGTTTTTAGCCAAAGTTATCCCTTATCGATGGGATTCGGTTTGTATTTGACCTCTATATATACGCTTCAGCATCTTTAATTCCATAAATTTGCTAAAGTACTACCTTCAGTTTAACTTAATGGAATGATGTTAAAAGTAATTGTGATACTGTTAACACCAAAATCCAGATATAAAATGCTAAACGCAACTATAGAGTTATTTTTTCTAGGTCAATATTGCAATAAACTTATACTTTTTCTTGACCAACATGAAATATAAAAAATGCTACCTATTAACTTCTTTTATATAGAATTTTAGGATATAAATATTGGTTTGATAGTTGTCCTATCTTTTTCCATCTTAACAATTAATTTTTTGTTTTTATTTTATGATTTACAGAATTTGTTGATACTACTATCATAGGGAATGCTTCTCAAAAAGGGAAAACAAAAGAATCATTAACGGACATAACAAATCGTCTAAATTTCCCTCGATTTCGTAGTACTCCCATAAAGAGTTATGGACAAGTTTCATCATCTCATTCTCAAGCACAATATCCAAATTCGATGCAAGAGCATTATTTGCAGTATGGTTTGTCGAGTTCAAATTTGCAGAAAGAACATCTTCTACCAGATTTAAATGAGATACCATTATTTCAAGGTAAATATTTATGTTTAATTTATTATAACTTATTTTTAAAATTTGAGGAAGTCAATATTTGTGCGGCTAAAATAAACGTCGACATAAATAATGAAGTTATTAATTTATATACTTATACCTTATACGCGGAACATTCTGGCCAACAAAATAATTTAAAAAATTTAATTTAATTTGCTGCCATTTATTTGATTCTATTTATTTTATTAACTACAACATGTTTGTTATAGTTTTTGAATTATAGTTCTGCATGAGTTTTTTGTTTTGATTATACTTAATTTTCATTATGTTAAACGAACTCTTATTATTTCAAACTCAGTATTGCAACAAACTTATACTTTTTGATGAATATGAAATTGAAAAAAGGCTAACTATTAATATTTCTTTTTACAATTTGAAGATGTCAGTATTGATGGTGATATACCAGGTATGTCATTTAAAGAACAATGCAACTCATAGTCATACATACAAGTTTATTAATTTTTAATTTATGCATCAAGGTCATATGCAATCCAACGTACAAATTCATGATGAAAATGAAGATGGCGATGTGTTTGAAGGTATTCACATACAAACTCATCAATGTTCGATAGTGTTAAAATGAATTAACAATTCCTAATATATTTAATTTCTAATTTTAAGATCTACTTATTATTTATAGGTGATGAAGTACAGAGTTGGATGACCAATGAAGGTAAGTATGACGTTTATCGAATTTACATATACAATATAATTTTACTTTCTATATAATAAGTACTTTGACCTTACCTCTTTATTTTACTCTGATATGGGATATAGGAGATGCCAATTATGAATGTGAATATTGTGGGGCATATTTTTGGTTCGAGGAAAGAGTTGACAAGAAGTATAAAAATAAAAAACCAGTTTTCACTTTGTGTTGTGGTCGTGGAAAAATCAAGCTACCAAATCCAAAGGAGCCTCCTTCCATTTTGAAGGATTTATTGTTTGGATCAGGTTATAATAGATAAATTCATTTAATTAAAATTATAACACAATAATTTTTGCATATCTATATATATCTGCTTTAATCAAATTTAATTTTATGAAGGTGCAAAAAGCAAACATTTCAGAGAGAATATTCGAACATATAATTCAATATTTTCATTTACATCAATGGGAGGAAAGGTTGATGTCTCTGTCAACAAAACAAAGGGACCCAGAACATTCAGATTGTCTGGACAAAATTATTATCAGATTGGAAGTTTATTGCCTCCAGAGGGATCTTCTCCAAAATTTACACAATTATATATCTATGATACAGAAAATGAGGTGAACAATAGAATTAATGCTATCAGGTTAGCATAGACAATTGCTTACTAAAAATAATTTAAAATTTTATTTTTTATAAGACATACATTGTTAGGTGAATTCAATATTTTATTCTTACAGTCGCATTGAAATGAACAATGAACTTCATACTGAAATTGTGAATGACTTGAAGCAAATGCTTGATGTCACGACCCAAACCCCGCTCCGATCGTGATGGCGCTTCTCGTGAAGACAAGGCCAGCCAACAAACCCATATCGCCTTTTCAAAAATAGTTAAACATTAATAAACAGTTTAAATATGAGTTAATGATATAATTAATGGAAGCACAACCCGACACAGCCCTAACCGGGGCGTCACAAGTCACGAGCATCTACTAGGGTATAAATACAACTGAAAGCCTGGAGTGTACAAATACAGACTAATGAAATGAGGAGAGAGAAAAGCAGTGCTGCGAACGCCGGCAGCTACCTTGCTAAACCCTGATGACTCTACCTCCGATCA